CGAGAATCTGTTTTCTAATAGGCTGAAAGCACCTTTTCCCGCCCGCTCTCGGGTTGCTAGGAGGCGGGACTCCTAGAGTCTTTGAGCGTTCGAAGCCCCGCCCATCCTATTGGCTGGGGGGGGCGGGTCTTGTAGCGCGGTTTTTTTAGCCGATAGGCAGCTGGCTCTGCCTGTTCCGGGTTAGTTGCCGGGGAGCGGCACGTGAGGAGGAGGTGGCGAGAAGCAACCATGGCGGGGGGGATGGAAGTGGCGGGTGGCGGTCTCGCCGGCAGTTGGTCCCGGGCCCTGGGGCTGGGGGTCCAGGGGCGTTGGGGCAGTGCGGCTGCTCTTGGTTCTTTCCGGCTGTTTGGTCTGCGGCTCAGGTACCGCCCGGGCAGCAGCTGCCAAGGGGGCGGGTGCCGAGGGGTTATTTTTGGAAAATCGGGGATTGTCCTGAGGGCGCGGACCGTTACTTTGCCTAGGGGCGGCGGTTTTTCCGCGGGTGCGGGCGTGGTGTGGAGGAAGACGCTTTGTTGGCGAGTGGGCGTCGGGACTGAGGGGCCAGGGCCCTGAGGCGGTCGTGGGGAGCTCGATCGAGTGGAGAGGAACCTGGAGCTTTTTGGCAGCGGCTGGGAGGGAGGCCTGGACTAGGGGAGAGACTGTCCGGGAGTTGGCGGTACGCTGTAAGGACCTCCTGGAGGTTTTTGGTTAAAAGGAAAGAGACCCACGGAGCATGACCATCTCAGGGAGGCGCTGGGAAATGGAGCATTCCATTCATTGAGCAAATTAGCAAACACCTGAGCGTTTGCTCTGACGGGACGCGTGGCACGGGCCTGTGTGTGTGTGTGTGTGTGAAATATACATTTCCCAGGAATGTAATGATCTTTCTTATACCTGCTGCTCTCGTGAGACCCTGGTGGAGTGTGTGTATGCAGAAAACCCCATCTATCCCCCTGTCGTTAAATGCACATTAAACCCCAGGAAGTGAGGTTTCCAAGCTTCCACTGAAGGGTGTTGAAACTGGCAAAGTAAAGATAATCTTATCCTGTGAACACACATGCCCTCTCACCTCTCCCTTGAATTCCTGCTTATCTCATGCTGTCACTCAGGATGATATCCTTAGCTGCAGTTTTAAGGTGCTCTTGGCATCGATCTAGTTCTAAAATGTAGTGTCCTGAAAACAGTCTTTTTGTTTGTTTTTGTTTTTTAGGGAGAGGATAGTAAGTACTAGGAAGGTGCATTGTCAAAGGCAGTGCCCGGAAGGAAATTCTGAATGAAGTTCTAAAATGGGGATGATTTGTAGGGATGAAACAAGAAAATACAGCACTCAATCAGCAGGCCCTTTCTCTTGTAAGTTTCATGAATGAAAAGAGAAACAGGGACGTTCTTGGAGATGAGTGAAATGGAAATGGTATTTGTTCTGTGTGGCCTGATAGATTATGTAAATAGCAGCTACAAAGAGCATGTAATAAAGAACAAGGTTCTAAAAGTCAGTGCCCGAAGATAGAATAAAGTAATTCACAACTTCTTACTGGAAGTTTCTTGAAAAATTTGTTTATTAAATAATGCATGTTTATTTTAGACTATTTGGTAAGTACAATTAAGTATTTAAAAAGTAGGTAAAAAGCTCACCTATCATTCTATTCAGAGGTAATGCATTTCTTCTGGTCTTTTTCATTTTTTTTAGAGAGAGATTTTTGCCATAAGATGTGTGCCCTCACCGGAGAGATAGCTACATATGAGCACCTCAGGGGCATGGTCACTCTACAGTCCCTTAGCCTCTATTCTCCTCTTGGGATTTTGAGGACACACTCACATGTGCCTGGTGTGAGTTTAAGCTGTGGGTCTGGGACTCTAACTGCAGTTGACTACATGGAAGTCTAGCAATGTAACTATTATGCCATCTGCTGGTCCCTTTTCTGTTTTCTTTCTGCATTTTTTAAAAAGAATGATTTAATTTTATTTATTCATTTGTTTATTTTAATCTGATCAGAGAAAGAGAGAGAGGAAGTGAGAAAGCAAGCCACCAGATCCGGGACTTGAACCGTGGTCAGCCATGTTGAGTGTTCAGCACCATAACCATCACACCACCTGCTGGTCCCCACTTTCTACATGTTTTTATTTGAAACATTATTTTTTGGAATTGATAATATATTCATATGTTGTTTCCCTGAAGGCCATCAGTCATTATCAGAGAGTTTGCACATTTGATTTTATAGCCTAAAACTTTCTTCAAGTTACTTAAAATTCTTCATAAATATTACTTTACTTGTATACCATATATGGACAGCCATTAATTATTGACTATCTCTAGATCAAACATTTGGTTGGATATTGTGGCGTTTCTAGTTTTTTATTGTTGTAGACTACATTTTGTGAATATCTTTGTATATAGATTTTGAGTTAGATTTTTTTTAAGAATATTTTTAAATTTAAATTTATTTATTTATTTATTTGGAGAGGTTTTTGCTATAGGGTGCATGTGCTCACCAGA